CCCCAAAACCCCAAAACCCCTACATGAGAAATTGAAAAATATCAGGAATTAATAAATTTATTCTGATTTAAAACATGAAAATTAATAATTTTAAAACATAGACACTTAATTCCGTAATGATTCCTGACTCTCACTCATCAATGAATTAAATAGGCAATTTTTAAATGACCAGAATTATGACATAGGCAAGCACCAAGAGAAATTTCAATTTTGGACTAAAGTTATAAAATTGTATCAAATCTCAAGACATATTTGGGCGGAAAATTTCCTTTACCTATAAAAAAAGTAGTACATATAAATCATTTCTTGGAGGTGTGGTAACATTAATCTTTAGAATCTCAGTTTTTGTATATCTAGTAACTGAGTTGATAAATGTTGTGCAGAAAAAGAGTACTATTTCAAATTCGACATTTATAAGAAATATTGCTGAAGATTTCACAACTTATGAAATGAATCTTCAAAAATTTGATCTTGCTTTTTAAATTCAGATAGATTAAAACTATCCTTCTCAAGATTTGAGTAGGTATCTAGAAATCAATTTTTCTGAGGTAGCTTTTGAATGGGCACCTGATGGAAAATCATACAAGCAAAACTATAGAGAAATTCCTCTTATTAGATGTTAAAATGGGAGATTCAATAATGAAACTGTTTAGACTGATAATATAAAGTTGACTGAGAGTTATCAGTGTCCAGAAACAATAGACTTCAAATTTAGAGGTTCATTTTTATCTAAAAAATCCACCTATATGTTACTTGGATTTAAGAAATGCCTTTAGAAGAATATGGACTTTTAATAGAAAAATATAACTTGCGCTAATGAGACAGAAATTAACTCAATATTGGACTGATTAGCAATCAATGTTGGATTTGCGAATTAATTTGTAGATGTAAATGACAAGTCGGCTTAACCAATAAAGACACTAATTAAAAGTTTTTACTTCACTGCCAATTCAATTATCTCTAGCAACTAAATCTTCAAGATAAGTCAAAATTACTTTACTGTTAGTGATAGCTCTTTTTCAAATTAGATAAATTAGATGAATCTCACTTACTACAGCATTAGATAAGATTATTCATTTACATCTTCCCTAATTAATAGAGATGAAAATTTAGGGATATTTCTTTTTCTTGATGAGAATGTTTTGACAACTAATAGAGTTGTATATACTGTATCAGATGCCCTTGCTTCTACAGGAGGATTTATTGGAATATTTTCAATCATTCTAAACTATCTAATCTGTTGGTTTTAAGATGCAATGTTCTACTAGTCGATAATATATGATGTATTTTATGTAGAAAAAAATAAAAATAATAAGTCTAGAGCAAGTTTTGACAAAAATAGTTAATGCGATTTGTAGATAAAACCAAAACCTGGTATAGGAGTGAAATTAAAGTAAAAATATAATAGCAAAACTGATTAGAGATAACAAGAAAATCACACCAGATATTAGACAGTGTTAGATTATATAAAGAGAAGAGTTAAATTTAAGTTCAGCTTAGTAGAACTGTTTAAAACTTTCATTACATGTATTAAAACCACAAATTCCAAGAATGCTGAGAGAAGGAAAACACTATTTAATATTGCGAAAAAGAAAATAGACAAGAGATTTGAAATAGAAAGAGTTTTTGAAACAATGAAATCGACTAGGCTGCTTAATAAGATTATACTTTCTAAGTACCAAAGAAAGTTAACACCATTTATCAAATCTAGCGTTATCAGAAGTAAAGTAGACTTAAATGATATTAGAAAGGCAGATTAAAAGTAAATTATCTGCACAAAAAATGAAGAATTCACAGAGTGGCAATCTATGTCTAAATTACAAAGAAGATAGGCGAAACAGTATCTAGCTTAGATGATAATAGAATCTAATTAATCAAAAACTGATTTAAGATTAATAAAAAATATTGAGCTAAATCATTAATAGCGTGATCTTTCATCTCAGGATTAAAAATTCCATGAAGTAATTTTAAAGTCAATGAATTAAAAATTTTAATAAAATAATAAGGAAACAGAATCAAACTATAAAACTAATTAGGATAATATAAGCACCTATAATAAAACAGAGGCTAATAATTTGATGGAATAAATAAGTTATGACAAAGATTTCAATTATAATGTTAAACTAAATGAATCAGGAGATTAATTTCAAACTAGAAATAAATTGAGAAGCACATCCAAGTTTACTTTTGAGAATGAAGATGATTAACTTGTTGAAGAGATTCTTAATAATGAATATATTAGTAAAAATGCTGATGAAAAAAAGAATTTGAGAGATCAATTAGATTATTCAATTGCAGAAATATGATTTTATTTAAGGGAAATCAACATTACAATTTATGATTAATTAATGTTTGAACCATGATCTTAGATTAAATCTATAGCTATGGGGTTTTGGGGTTTTGGGGTTTTGGGG